TATTCTCTCAGATTTTTCGTGAGAGACTCGTATTCGTCCATAACACACGAGAATGTTCAGTATCTAAGATGCGGAGTACTGGGGAATGTCTAAATTGTAAAGATTGCACTGATAGTTACAACCTGTGAATGCCTAAGGAAATATGTTCGTAGTTTTCTTAGACAGCTATATGGTTATGTCCCCGGCATTGGTGATGTTCTTGATTAACATTAACCACTGACCATCAGGTGGGCCATATGCTCCCCTGTATACAATGGCAATTATAAGGAACCATAATCGCAAGGAATATTTGAACTAAATAAAGTTCAATATAATATTTTGACTTAGTTGTGACGATATCCGCACATGACATCACTAGACAGGTAAGTAAGTACACTGTGCAAATATCCGCGCCGTATCCGCAGCTCGTGTTCGTAGCTGCTCGCTCGGGGCCATGGACTCAGAATAACAATTTGTAAGTACTTTTTAATTAATTTGTGTATATTTCAGCATCTATACTAATATTATAAAGCTGAAGAGTTTGTTTGTTTGAACGTGCTTATCTCAAGAACTTTTGGAGTTTACTCCTTTAGAATCGATTTACATATATAGGCCCGGGGTATGAAAATTATGGGGACCAAAATCGTACTAGCATGTCACACGAAATGCGTTATGCGCCTGATTGCGCATGTCACACGAAATGCGCGCCGGGCTGCTGCGCCGGCAGTCCGCCACAAAGCCTCGTACTGATCGCGCGTTTCTCTCATTATTGTATTTTCATATATTTGTTAGTCGTTTGTTTTGTGTCTCGTTAATTTGTTAATAATCTGTAGTGTATCGTGTTGTCGTAATATAGAACTATTTCTCGTATTGTTTCGTTTAATTTTTTATATCCAGTAAACTCCAGTCGTGCGTCGGAGCGGACACACACACTTTTTACGGTCGTTGTAGACGGTGACTGTTCTGATACCATGACCATTAACGCTGGCGTTCCACAAGGTTCGGCGCTCTCCCCCACTTTTCATCCTGTATATCAATGACATGCTGTCTATTGATGGCATGCATTGCTATGCGGATGACAACACGGGGGATGCGCGATATATCGGCCATCAGAGTCTCTCTCGGAGCGCGGTGCAAGAGAGACGATCAAAACTTGTGTCTGAAGTGGAGAACTCTCTGGGGCGAGT